GATATGGGTGATAACTGTTCACCGAAAAGAAAAGGTAAATGTGGTAAAAAAAAAATTTGACTCTTCGTGGTGAAAGAACATTGTCGAAAGTAATAAAGGAGGATAGGACTGCTACTAATTCTTTCATAAAAAATAAATTACAAGCCTCTGGAATTCAAATGTCCGCCAGAACATTGCAGAGAAGACTCAATGATCTCGGTTATAATAGTAGACGGCCAGTAAAAAAGCCAAAGTTAACAATCAAAATGAAAGAAAATAGATTGAAATGGGCTCTGAAGTATAAAAACTTTACAGTAGAAGATTGGAAACAGGTTTGTGTTTAAATTATTTTAATATTTTTATATGAAAACACACATGGAATGAGAAATTATAAAACAATATTTTATTTCAGGTTTGCTTTAGTGATGAGAGCACATTCCAAGTGATGACAAACAAAGCTCAGTATGTTCGCCGTAAAATATCGGAAAAATATCACGAAGACTGTGTTATAAAAACTGTGAAATATCCGACTTCTGTCATGATTTGGTCCGTGATGAGCGGAAAAGGTTTGGGTTGACTCTACGTTGTAGAGGGCATTATGAGGCAAGACCAGTATCGAGATGTCTTGCAACATCGATTGTTACCACAATTAAGGGATTGGTTTGGTGAAATGGAGAAATTTATATTTATGCAAGATGGTGCCCTTTGCCATACTGCAAAATCTATAAAAAAGTTCCTCTCAGAAGAAAAAGTTCCATTATTGGATTGGCCAGGTAACTCACCAGACGTCAATCCAATAGAAAATGTTTGGGAACTCCTGAAGAGAAAAATTTCAAAAGAAAATATCACAAACAAAGTTAATTTGATTGAAAAAATTATATATTATTGGAACCACGATATAAATTTAAAAGAAATGTCATTAAAATGTATTGAAAGCATGCCTCGACGCGTCCAAACAATTATTGATGCCAAAGGCGAGCTCACAAAATATTGATACAATGTGTGTCTATCATTAGGTTTATTATTTTTTGTCGTTATTTTATAGATTTATTTGATTTTATTGTGTATATGAATGTTAATCAATTAAAAATAAAAAGTATTTGAATACATTTTAATTGTTTACTGCATTTTATAACCCCAAGAAATCATTAATACAGAAAAAATGTAGGTGGCACTAAAAAATTGTCATGGGACTGTATATATATATATATATATATATATATATATATATATATATATATATATATATATATATATATATATATATATATATATATATATATATATATATATATATATATATATATATATATATATATATATATATATATATATATATATATATATATATATAGTAAGTGATATAGTAAGCCCCTATCATAATTACTAAATTTTTATTTCTACTGGCTGGAAAGTGTTTTTTCTGCTTGGAAAAAAGTAATATTTTAAGTTAATACAAGTAGATATTCAATTTTTGCAGGTTTGTCATTTCCAAGAAAACGAAATGTGCATTTTAGTCATACTCAAGCTTCGAAAACGTGTGCGCGCCTGTAAGTCTTGTAAACAATAACAAAAACTTTCTTCTGTTTCTTTTTACTGTACAGATTTTTTGTATTAAATAAGAACCTTTGAGAACTCGTATTGATCTTGTGATCAAAAACATGTATTATTTAAAGTAAAACTCAACAATATGCCATAACGTTTATATTTATTTTTTGATAAAATCAGAGCCAATTTATACTTAAATATAACAACAGGTATCGTGCCAATCGCCTTTGGTCGATTAAAAAAAACATTTCTATGGTCAAATAAAATGTTTAAATTCATGGTGTCTGATCGAAATACAAGTTTTTGAGATATGGATTACAGACATATTTGATGTCATGTTACATGCGTTTTACATATATTTAATAATTAAAATAAAATTTAGTAAATAATACAATTATTTCAAGATTGATTGAATGAGTTAATGAATAGATATATGTTATAAAATTTAATAATTTATAGTATTCATTAAGTACACAAATAAAGGAGAAAGAGTAAGAGACAGACTAATCCTTGAGGGCAATTATTTTTTCTTAAGTATCCTATTAACCAGCTGCCCACGAACAAGCTCCCCAGAACTGAAAAAATGCTCAGACATAATCAGTTTATAAAATTCAGGTCTTTAAAGTTTAAATCTACTAAGCTTTTTGTAGCTTGTTCTCAAATGTTTCCAAGCAAAAATGTTATTTGTAACGGCATATCGTATAAAGAACTATTTCATATGTATGCTTCTTCTTTTGTAATGGATGAATGAAACAAGGCTGGTTATGAAGAATTCTCTATTCCTGTTGCTAATTTTAAATAACAAATGTTTTAATTTTTAAATAAATAAGTTGATAAGTCAAAAAAAAAAAAAAAAAATTTAAATAGAAACATAAATAAACAAAAAACAAACATTATATAGGTAATAAATAAGCTTGAGGAGATCATCAGGTTTAATTGGAATGAGCTACAGGTTGGATCATCCTTGTACAACATTGTAAGGGAGACAGTATAAAATGGCAAGAGGGCATTGACCACAGAGATATTCACCTGAAGAGACTATGAAAAGATCTTTAAACTAGTTGTCTTTTATTTTAGAGAAGTGCACTGGTTTTTAAAATCCTATTTGGTTGACAAGTCAACTTTAATAGACTTGGCTGCCCTTAAACCATCGTACAAAATAAGGTAACACTAACTAAAACTAAAACAGGACCTTCTTGTCACCTTGGAGCGTCATATTGTATTTAAACAGTTAGTTGTGCTTGTTCTAGCCAAGGATGGTGTTGAAGAGTAGGTAAACCAAACGTTTGAAAAGTTGGTTAAGTGTGATGCCCTTGAGAGGTTTTATATGAGAAAACTAAAACTATCGGTTATTAGTAAATCAACAGAGTTAACTGAACTTGTAAGTTTTTAAAGCTGGAACCTGTTCAAGGTAACAAAGATTCCTGCTGAAGAGGTAAAAAATGGATCAAGGGCAATGTCAGTCAGACATTTGCTATATTTTGAGGCTGATCAAGTGTATCAATGACTGTATTGAAAAAAAAATCAAAAAATTTGCTACAATAAATTGAAAAAAAAAATGAAGTCCACTTTTACACAAATAAAAAGCGTGCTTTTGGTACTTTTAGTGTGTTTGAACCTTAGTAAATGGAAAAAAGTTAAAAGGTTTTTTTTTTTAGTACACCTTAATTTACAAAGTACTTCTAAGATTCTTTCTATTTTCAAAAACAATAGACACCGGTTTATATATGCTTACAAACTCTACCAAATAAAGTGACTTTAGTGAGTTTTTAATACCAGCAATTCAAAAACGTGGAGTGAATGTTTGTGAGTGTTGTGTGGTGGTGTGGAAGTTTGTGAATGTGGTGCGGAGGTGTAACGGTTTGTGAATGCTTTGCTAATTCATTTTTTGCTACACTAAAGCAATTTCCATTAACCCCAGCAAGAAAATTTTAACATCACCCCACACCTTTTTGAAAACACCTCACGAGTGAATACCACTAATATATTTTTGTGTGTGGTGATCACTCATAAAACTGGATCCTAGCATAAATCTTTTAATTTACCTTCGCTCATTTTCCCAATAATTTATTCGTTCAGATAATGTATTCGTTCAGATTAAATTTAAATATATTTTCAGATTAAATAAAAAGTTTGTTTTAATTAAATTAAAAAAAAATGCTAACTCTTTAATAAAAATAATTAAATCTGGTTTTTCTTTATTATTCAAAATTTTATGAATTTTTTTTTTTACAAAAATTTTATATTATTTAACATTTTTCCAACCATATAGCTTTGTTTATTTTATTTTTATTTAGATTAGATACAAATATCTGTTGCTTTTGTTAAACGAAGTTATAAATTTTAATGTAATGCCAAAATAGCAATGTTGAAATATTATATGTGAAATGTCTGTAAATAATAAGTAAAACCTACCTAACAGTATACAAATACACATTTGAAGTATATTTTGCAGAAAGAAAAAAGCCGGCAACACCAAGAGTTTTTTTAGCGATAGTATAATAAAGTTAATAAAGGTTAAGGATAGGTTAATAAAGTTAGAATCGGTTGTTGGCAGTCTTATTATCAATAGGTTTTTGAGTTTAAAATAGTTTTGTAAATGCGTTTACAATCTAAGATTTAGCTTCTTAATATAAAGAGCGAAGTTTTGTTCAACAGTCTTTTGTCGCTCAGTTGGTCTTCAGGGAGCTCCGCATCCTTGAAAATAATTTGTTTTTTTAATTTAATGGTTTTTTACGTATAAGTTTTATTGAATAACAATTTTTAAATAAAACAAAAAAAATCATTGAACTGATATTTGACAGGGGACATATTCGCATTAAATAATAATAGACTAGAGGTGTCTGATTAAATATGTATTAAGTTTTATCTATCTTATTACGATTGCTTTATCTAGCTTTGCCAAAAAGTATTCTTGACAAAGCTAGATAAAACAAATGTGATAAAATAGATAATACTAGGTAAGGTCTCTCTTCTCTCTCTCTCTATCTTTCTCTCTCTCTCTCTCTCTCTCTCTCCCTCTCTCTCTCTCTCTCTCTCTCTCTCTCTCTCTCTCTATATATATATATATATATATATATATATATATATATATATATATATATATATATATAGGTGTACACATCTTCAGAGCTACAAACAACTTTTTATTTGTTCCTAGTGCTCTAATAAATTTTTTCATCTGTTTTAAATAAGATTTTTTACATAACTAACTATTAATAAGTTATATAAAATTTTTATATAACTTTCTATTAGTAAGTTATATTAAATATAGTGTTTTCACTGTTAGTAACAAACTTTTATACGCCCACAATTTCAATAAACTAAATGAATTTTTCTGGAAGGCATATTTTCTTTAGTTGTTTAGAAGACTCTTTTTAATTATTTAAAAACTGTTTTTTTTTTTTTATTGATTTAATATTTTATTAAAAGTATTAACAAACAAAAAGTTCAAAACAAACTATGCTAAAAAATCTCGCAGTCCTATCCAATAACTTATTATTGCTATGGATTTACTAGTGAATAAACGAGTTTGTTTTAATATATCTGGAAAAGTTTTTGAAACATTCTTAGAAACCTTAAACAGGTATCCTTGTACGCTGTTAGGAAATGATAAAAGTAGAGCTGGTTATTTTAATGCCTCTAAAAATATTTATTTTATTGATCGGTCCCCATTAGCGTTTGAAGCTATTTTATTTTTTTATCAATCTGGTTGCTTAATTCGTCCGCCATTTATGAGCTTGGAATTGTTTGAAGAAGAATGCATGTTTTATAATTTAGGAAATGACGTAATTAAATCGATGAAAGCGCGTGATAATAACAATTATAAGAAAAGCAGAAAAAGTACGATGAAACCAGTAACAAAACTAGAAAAGATCTGGGAATTTTTGGAAGTACCTGAATCTTCTATGCTAGCTCAAATTTTTGCAGTAATTTCTGTTATATTAGCGTTCTTAATTGTTGTAGTTGACTGCATAGTTACATTAGACATATATCAAAAGCCAAAAATGACAATTCTTAACAGATTTACTTTGTTTTCAAACATCTTTTTTGCTTTAGAATTTATTGCAAGAATAATAAGTACACCTGGGAAATCAAAATTTATCAAATCAAAAAGAAACTTATTGGACTTTTTTACAATACTTCCCAATTTTTTAATAACTTTGTTTGAAGGTAAATATGCCGGTGAAGTAAATATTAATATATTACTAATAAGGTTTAGTCGAATGTTCAAAATACTATGGATTATACGACTTATACGCTATTCAAAAAGTTTTGTGTTAATTGCCACTACATTAGAGATACTGGCAAAATGCTCTAAAGACTTATTCACACTACTTTTTTGTGTGCTCATAACATGTACACTTTGTGGAAACCTGATATACTTTGCAGAATTAGACGATAAAACTAGCTCAGTTGTAAGTGCACCTGAAGGAATGTGGTTGGTTATTCAGACAATTTTAACAATAGGATATGGTGATGTTGTTCCTATAACTGTTGTTGGGAGATTTTTAACAGCGCTTACAGCGGCGATTGGAATTACAGTGACTTTTCCACTTTTATCGTTTTGCGGAAAGTTTTTTCATGCATATTCTAAAATATACAAAGCTACTAACATAAAATAATTTTTTGTAATATTGAAAAATATTAATAATAAAAATAATATTAATAACGCCAACTCCAACAAGTACTTGTTTAAAAATACATTAATACATTATTACTATTATTATAAAGTAATAGATATGTAAAAAGAATCTGTCATGGTTAAAAACAAATAATTTACAAAAAACATGCTGAAAATGCAAAATCACCAAATACTCTGCAGCCTTCTAATTAATGTAAAAGTAACGAAATAATATATTTTTAAAGTGAATGATAATGAGAATTATTATAAGAGTGCTGTGTTGTATTAACTTTATGTGTTATAGTTTGACAAGACCTGAATAATAAAGATATCACTTTTAATAATTCCAAAATATTGTAAAAAACTAAGAATGAAAGATAATTATATTTTTTGCTAGGCATAAAACATAAGTAATAAAAATAATAGTAATAAAATAAACTTTGCCGTGGTGAATTGGTAAACAGTTGAATTAACAGCAAATTATAGTTAATCAATAAATAACCTAATTAAAAATAATAAATTCGCTTGTAATCATAAAATAAGCGACATACTTTGAAATATATTTCCCCACGAAACGCTGTTTAATGGTTTCTCATTAGCGCGCTAGTAACATCAAACAAACCGCTAAATAACATCAGACAAACCGCTAAAATAACATTAGACAAACCGCTATAGTGGTTTCTCAAAAAACTTCTAACAAAACAAAAGAACTCGGGAGTGTAAATTGTTTTTGCGTAAAAATGACTTTTGCTTTTTTTACTTTTTAGCATGCATAACTTAGTTAATATAATGGTTAAAATGCAAATCTTTTTACTTCACTTAAACCCTTTTAAAGTTAAAAGATATTTTAACTTTTAAAAAGGGCCCCTAAAAATACTGCCCCCCCCCAATTGGGGGATTTGGGGGTGCCTAGCCACGGCTCTGTATATATATATATATATATATATATATATATATATATATATATATATATATATATATATATATATATATATATATATATATATATATATATATATATATACATATATATATATATATATATATATATATATATATATATATATATATATATATATATATATATATATATACATATATATATATATATAGTCTTGCATGTCTCTTGCGTAGCATCAAAAAATATTTCCCATAAACTGTAGTTTTAAAGAGCGCGTTAATAAACCAGACCAGAAAAAGTTTTAAAAATTAAATTTTTTTTTTTAATTGACAGACTGCCTGGCCAAACCAAACCCTCAGTCGATGTAGCAGCACTCTCTTGCGAGTCAGGCTATTTGTCAGTCGTTGTAGCAGCACTCCCTTGCGAGTCAGCTATTTGTCAGTCGATGTAGCAGCATTCCCTTGCGAGTCAGGCTATTTGTCAGTCGATGTAGCAGCACTCCGTTGCGAGTCAGGCTATTTGTCAGTCGATGTAGCAGCACTCCGTTGCGAGTCAGGCTATAAGATAGTCGATGTAGCAACATTTACGCATGTTAAAAAAATGTTTTTTATTAAATCAATAACAAAAACACCACTAATTAAAAAAAACTTTCTAGTCGTTATAATTGCGGTTTTTTAAAAAATTTTTAAAAAACAATTAAATTTAATGTACTTCCGCATAAATTAATTGCTTTGACATTTCGATGACAATCAAAAACAGCTTAAGAGACGAGGTAATTAAAATTGTAGTCGTAAGAGACTTTTTTTACATTAAAATGCTCTTAAAGCGACACTATATGAGTATATACATATATATATATATATATATATATATATATATATATATATATATATATATATATATATATATATATATATATATATATATATATATATATATATATATATATATATATATATATATATATATATATATATAAGAAAAAGGAAATAAAAAAGTTTGGATGTATGCGTATCTGCCAATATATGTATGTAGGCTACGTTTGGACGTGAACCATCCTATGGCAGTGGCAAGGCGTTTTATATATATATATATATATATATATATATATATATATATATATATATATATATATATATATATATATATATATATATATATATATATATATATATATATATATATATATATATATATATATATATATATATATTATTATTATTATTATAGTTGTAGCCGTAAATTTACATAGAATGTACACATACAGCGAGCAGGGGAAACACCCCACTATAAACAACCAGTTTTATAAATATTTGTTCCAAACTTTTTCCACAACCAGGAGTCTAGTCTATTTTTGAAAGAAAGTACAGTGGAGTACAAAGTTATTTGCTCTGGTAGATTGTTCCAGTATTTTGCTGATCTATTATACAAATGATTATATCTTGGAAGACAGTTTAGAACATACTCACGCCTTATTTTAGAATGGTGACCACGAGACACGGAGTTAATATATTTTGGTAGATATTTATCATTAACTATATCAAAACGATGTATTAATTTAAAAATTTGGATTAAATCGCATCGAAGGCGTCGAAACTCAAGTGATGGTAGGTTTAATCTTTTTAGCCTTTCGCAGTATTGAAGATGCCTCAAGCTGTAAGCCCATTTTGTAGCTTTGCGTTGAACAGATTCAACCAAAGCCATATCAGCTTTTAAAAAAGGAGCCCAAATGGACACTCCATATTCAAGATGTGGTCTTATAAATACTTTATATAATTTGAGAGCCATTTTTTCATCAATGAAAGTGAATGTCTTTTTCAGCATACCGAGAATTTGTAAGGACTTAGAGACAACTGTTTGAATATGAGCGCTCCACTTGAGGTTAGATGTAAAAATGACTCCTAAATCACGTTCTTTAGTAGAGCTTCTTAGAGATTGGTTGATTCCTTGGTTATTTTGAAGAAAGTAATTGTAATGGGGGTTGTTTCGACCGTAATGAATGACGCAGCATTTTGAAGTGTTTAGCTTAAGTAACCAAGTGTTTGACCACTCGTATACCAAGCGTAGACGATTCTGCAGATCAACAAAATTAGATTGCGATAAGGTTTTAGAAAAAAGTTTAGTATCATCGGCAAATATCTCAGAAGTTTCAGTGAGTTTTGCGAGATCATTTGTGTAGAGAATGAAGAGGAGCGGGCCGAGAACAGAACCTTGAGGAACACCACTGAGAACATCAACCCATGCAGAGCTGGTATTGTTAATTGTAACGCGTTGCTTTCTGCCCACTAAAAAAGATTTAATCCATTGTAGGAGTTTGCCGTTTATTCCGAAAGATCTTAATTTTAACAAAAGTCTGTTGTGAGGTACAGAGTCAAACGCTTTGGCAAAGTCAAGATAGATTACATCAATAAATTGGTGAGATGCTATGGAGGACGAAATGATATCAAAAGTTTCTATTAGGTTAGTTACGCATGATTTATTATAAAGGAAGCCATGTTGATTTGCAGAGAGCATTTTATTATCGTTAATGTGCTTTAAAATTTTTTTCTTTACAAGTTTTTCAAAGATTTTACAGGCAACAGATGTTAGTGAAATAGGTCTATAGTTTTCAGCAAGTAATTTATCTCCCTTTTTTTTATAGATCGGACTAATATTTGCTAATTTCCATTGAGTGGGTACTACTCCAGAATTAAAGGATTTATGAAAGATTTTTGTTAATGGAATTGCAAAGCTTTTGGCACATATCTTGAGTATTAAGGGATGCAAGCCGTCAGATCCGAAGGATTTATAAGGCTTTAGATCGGCAAGTTCCTGAATAATATCTGAGATAGAGAAATCCAAGTTTTCATTATAAATGCATTCAGAAAGAATACCACTTTTATTTAGCAAAGGAAAATTTTCAGAGCTTTCAAGTGTAAACATAGATTTAAATTGAGAGTTCAGAAGATCAACTATATCAGGAAGAGCTTCAATAATTCTGCCTGAAGTATCTTTGAGAGAGCGAATTCTATCTTTAATTTTTAGTTGTTTGTTGATATATTTGTAAACGATTTTTGGGTTGTTTTGGGATTTTGATATTATTTCTTTTTCATGTGCTTTTATATATATATATATAAGATTATATATATATTATATATACATATATTATATATATATATAATTATAGATTATATTTATATATATATTATATATATAAGATTATATATATATATTTTATATATATATATATATATATATATATATATATATATATAAGAGTAAATGGTAATTTATATATTTAGCAGTGGCTTGGCGTTTTTGCTGACAGAAGCGTAAACGGAAATTTAGTAATTTGGCTTAACACGCAGCGATAACCATTGTATCTAGGTCCTTTTGCACAACCTTTTGAACGAACTGGAAATGTAATTTATTCAGTCTGGAAATGTGATTACATTGATTACATACAGTAATATATATTTAATAATATGTAGCAATTAATATTATTCAGTGATTATTTTCGACAAATTAAATTCAGTGCGTGCAAAGAGATTTATTTAGAAAATTATGAACATTATGAGTCGGAAGACACAGTAATTTGATTGATGCAAGGCGTAAACACCACAACAAAAGGAAAAACCATAAAAAAAAATAAAAAAAAAAAAAAAAAAACTTTCTAATTTCTTCAATAGCGGTTTTTCTGTGACAAGACCTTATGGTCTTCTTTGAGTATCCACGTTATTTATTTTTATTTTTTATGCTTTATTTCTTAACTTAAAATATCTTTTCTTGACTTGTTATCTTTTCTTTTTTTATATCATTTGTTACATATGTATCCTAAATATTGTAATAAAGAACAAAAAAATATATATATAATATATATATATATATATATATATATATATATATATATATATATATATATATATATATATATATATATATATATTATATATATATATATATATATATATATATATATATATATATATATATATATATATATATATATACTAATTAGCTATCTAGAGTTTATATAGCTACTAGTTCGCTATATATAAACTCTATAATCTCAAACATTATTGCAAGAGAAAGTTTCGCTGAAGTTCGTGCAATATGATTATTATTATTATTTCGATCTCCTTTTTATTTTCACAACAATTGTTGTGAAAATAAATTGTTGTGTATATTAATATACAAACTTAGCAAAAATAAACAGTTACAAAATAATTTTATTCAACGCTAACTGAAGTTATATATATTAAAAATATATTAAAATAAACTATTTACGCAATTATATAGAACTTATTATAAGCTAAATCGTTCAAAACGCGAAATAAAAGGGGTTAGTTTATTACGATGAGGGTTAGAAGTATTTAAGCCCCGGTTAATCCATTTCACCATATTTTAAAATCCCGGGGTTAATTTATTTCGAAATAGATTAACCGGGGAGTTAAAATGTTTTAACCGGGAGTTAACTTTTCGGTTATTTTATTTCGTGTCACGGGCAAAAAATATTTATTTCTTCGAAAATATAGATGACTAATAACTATTATAATCATTTGTATCAAAACAGTATAATTATTAAGATTGGTGAACTTGACCGTCTGAAACTAGTTTTTTGATGTCTGAATTGATTTTTGAGGTAGATAGAAGTATCAGATTACCAAGATGGTTGTCTCCAAAATTGTAACCAAATTATTTGACGGGCATTTAAAAAAGTCTCTGCCCGCGGACAGTGGTTTGGCCACCACTGCTGTAGAGAATTAAATATAGATTACAAAAATATATATAAAATGATACTGTAGAGTCTACAGTATTATTTTATATATCATTTGTATGACACAATATTGTGGTTTTTTATCGTTTTATTATACTCTGTAAACAATTTTTATTATATATTACGAAGTTGTAATGATTGAAGAACAAAAAATTAAAAAAAATTTGCCGCCCTTCTCAATAAAATCATTCTGTGATTTTCTGAATAAGTAATAAGCTTGGTGCTATGCAATAAGATGCATATGATCTTGTAACGTTTTGTAACGTAATGTGGCGAGCAATTAATTCGAGTGCTCTAAGAAGTTTCCATTTCCATTTTTGAACAACTTTTGATTGGATCCTAGCATAGCAATAGCAAACAAAAAATAAAAAAAATAGTTATCCATATTTGTATCGAATTATAACTACAGTCGAGTTCGAGAAAAAGTTCGAGATATCGAGAGTTCGAGATATCAAGAAAAGGTTTGAAAATAAATAAAATTGCCCGGCTTTCATTAAAACAAGTTATTTTTCTGACAAAAATCATTAACAACAAAAACTACAACTTTTGAAAAATATTCCACGAAGAAACAAGATCTTTCATTGCTTGAAGTAGAAATTTTTGGCCTGGGTTTGTTATTATCGACAGCATTGACACACAAACGCACAATTTTGTGACGATAATGAGCTTTAAGACTTCGTATTACGCCTTGATTCATGGGCTGAAGGACAGATGTGGTGTTAGGGGAGAAAAATATTAGGTTGATGTTGCTTAGCCCTTCAATGTGTGGATGGACAGAACAGCTACCCACCAGGAGTGCTACTTTCCTGTCTTGAGCACGAAAAATTGAGTCAAGTTTCTTTACTCATTCTGTAAAAAGGTCTCCGGTCATCCAACTTTTTAGCTGATTTTTATATGTGCAAGGAAGTTGTTTAATGCGCTTAAAAACATCATCGTGGGTTTTTAGATTTTCCAATAACAGACATAGGTAATTTTTCTCCCGTTGCACTCCCTGCTTCTATGCCTGTTAGTCTGACTTTACTCTTTTTTTCCCAGTAAATTTTTCTTGTGATATATGGTATGTTTTGTTTGGTGGGCACTGGTAAAATAGTTTAAACTCATCAACATTGAAAATGTTTTCAAGTTTGTAATTCAAAAGCAATGTTGGAAGTGTAGTTTCATTCCATGAAGCAGTCATATTACTCGTCACGGCGGCACTTTCGCCTGAGATTATTTTAAAGCTGATGCAGTTCCTAAAAATAGGAACAGAATAACTGAATTTTAATTACACGTTTAAAAAACTAAATAAATTAAATATAAACAGATATTTAAATTGAACAAGATTTGACAAAATTTAAGACTTTTATTTCCAATTATGAAACCAACAATCAGATACTTTAAAATCCAACTATTCTAATGCTTCTGCGAATTTTAGTGACTTTTCTTTTAGTATGGTACCATCAATTGGTGCTTGTTGACTTCTTTTTGCAACGAACCACGTGTATATGACCTTGTCTACATTTTCGAAATTACCACTATAAAGTTTTTTCCGATTAGATTTTGGGTCATTTTTTTCCAGTGAGGTTAATAACTTACGTGAATATTATATGGGGAAGCACTCACAGAACAAAGCTAAAATCTCTTTACCTTCATCAGAAACACGCAACTCGCGTAATAAATTTTAAAAATCGGTTTTTTCACACGAAACAACTTTTTAAAGAAATGAATATTTTAAATGTATATCAACTAAATGTCTTTAATATTTTATGTTTCATGTTTAAATGTAGAGAAAATTTGCCGCCAAATGTATTACAAAATTTTTATTGTATGAAACCTAAAAACAAATAAAATTTTCGAATTAATAACAGTCTTATTGCCCCTTTTTGTCGTAAAAGCAAAGACAAGTTTTTTGTTTTTTACCGAGGTCCTTATCTCTGGAACAAAATAGTCTTACCAAATTTTGATTTTTCAACCCAAATGACTTTTGCTTTATTCAAACAGAAACTTAAAAAAATTATATTTTTAATTAAAAATATCTTGCTTTATTTTTAATTGCCTTTTTTTTGTTTTGTTTTTGTTGTTGTTTTATTTTGTATATTATTTGGTTTAAAATTTTATCTTGGTATTTTAATATTTTATCTTGGTTTTTAAATATTTTTGCATAGAGGTGTATAATTATTTCACTACAGACATTGTATTTTTATTAAAAGTTAACCATATATTGTAAAGGGCTTCATGACAAGATCCTCATGATCTTCTAGAAGTCCTGTCGTTACTAATGTAATGTAAAATTGTAAATAAATTCCTCAGGTAAAACTTATAGAAATTCGAAGGGTAAACAAGTGCCAGAAAGATCTATCGTAACGTTAAATAGTTGCAGTAATTGTAAATTCAAATGCTCTACTAATAAAAGTGAGATCGTCAAGTTATATTTGATAACTTTTGGACCTCAGATGATGGTGGTAAAAAACATTTCTATTCAAAAACTACCGACAATCTGGAGAAAAAACGCTGTCGAACAGCTGCTGGTGAAAGTTCTAGAAGAAAAATGTCTTATTATTATAGCTTCTTTGTTTCTAATACACAATATAGAGTTTGTAAATCCTACTATCTTTTAACATTGACAATTAGTAGCCAAAGAATTTTTTACTTTCACAAATTTAATAAATGCTCAACTACTGGAACACTTATGCAATCAAAATATGGAAGACATATGAAAAAAACCACTAGATTCTAAAAAAGTTGTACAAGACCATATAAACCTTTTCCCAAGAATTGAGGCTCATTAGTGCAGGAAAAAGATCCATAAAGAATATATGGAAGGATCACTCAATATAGGTAAACTGTATGATCTTTTTAAAGTATATTGTGATGAAAATGGCTATACACCAGTAAAAGAACATATGAATCGTTATATCTTCAATCACGAGTTCAATATAGAATTTCAAAAACCAAAAAAAGATTTATGTGATATATGTTATGAATATTGCAACATTGTTAATGCAAGCAATGAGCAGACAGAAAGTTATAATAAACCCATAACATCAAAGAATGATACCAAAACTGAACGTGAAAAAGATTGTCAAAATGTTGATCCTAAAACAGCAATTGTTTGTATTGATATCGCAATAGTTTCATGTCAGCAGCTTTACGTGAATTTATTATACGATACCCACAAATAAAAGTCTTTAAGCAGAAGTTCTGCGAGCCAGGTCACTCCAGCATTCAAGAATGTGATAATATTCATAGTCAAATTGAAAAATCCCTCTCTGCTGCAGAAATATTTAGTCCACTTGGACTAGAAAGAGCTATTAAAAATGTAAACCGTAAAAAACCATTCTCTGTTTACCAAATGCAATTAGTAGATGTGAAGAATTTTTCAATTGTTGCTGGGTTGTCAAGTTATAAGTTAGTGCCTTATACAAGAGCTAAAAATCTTGTTTATCGAAATGGACTGCCATACCATGTTTTTTTTAAAACTTCGTTTTCAGATAATATATATATATATATATATATATATATATATATATATATATATATATATATATATATATATATATATATATATATATATATATATATATATATATATATATATATATATATATATATATATATATATATATATATATATATATATATATATATTTATAGCAGCCGTGGCGCAGTGGTTAGAGCTCTGGCTCAGAATCCAGAGGTCCGAGGTTCGACGCCATCTCTAGCCCAACAAGCGACATTAGTACGGAAGGAGGCGTGATCGTTAAATGCTCTCCCGCGGTGCTCTATGATAAGACCGTAAGGACTTCTAGGAGCACCTAAATACATACAAATATATATATATATATATATATATATATATATATATATATATATATATATATATATATATATATATATATATATATATATATATTTATTATGTATCCTTTTTTTATTATGTAGCGAAGTGTTCTGTTTTAAATTAGACATCTTATTCTTGTTCAGAGCCGGAGCGAACAGGTATCAAATAAACTTGTAAGAACATTGAAGTAGCTAATGGGTTCGAGGCCCTCCTAAAATATATAATAGGGCCCCAAAATAATAATAAAAACTTCCATTTTTAGATGTTAGAAAAAAAACTCCTTTTATTTTAAAAAAAGCTCCCATAGATTTGCTGTGTCCCAACCAACCCTAATTTAGGGGTATAGGGGTGTCTAACAACAGCACTGCGCAAGAAAAATGACTAGAACAAAAAAAACAAACAACCTAGAACAAAGTTTCATCAATTTTCAATATGTCTTTGTTAAAAAATGTAGTTAATATATTTAATATATAAGATGTAACAAAATAACATTTTTGTATTTTACAAAAATCCAAAGTTATTTTGTTCTATCTCTAAAAGTAGGTGGGAAAATAAGGGCGTTAGCGTTATTTTAATAAATTTTTTTTAATTAAAAATAAAAAACGGAACAATCTTAAATCGAAAGAAAAACTTTAATTTCCAAATAATATTTTTAATTTAGCAGCAAACAAACTCAAACTTTAACATCGATTTTCTCAGTTTGCAAAAACATGGACTTAGAACAAGATAATTCTAACGTCGCGAAATGTAGATCCTTTCGATTGGTTAGTCGATAATTTAGACAGTCAGTCGGCAAACGTCGTCATGGCAGTCGTCAAATTTGTGAAAACGAGGACCTTTTTTTTTTTTTTTTATTAAGGCAAAAGTTGTAATAGCACCCCTCCCCCACGTCACACCTACTCGCGCCGGTCCTATTTCCATGGCATTGTTTTATCTCCTATTTTGCTTTATCTCCAAAAGAACTTTTTACGTACCGTTAAAAAAAAAATATTTTTTTTTTCAACACTATACTTTATAATTCAAACAAAACGCCAATCAAAACGCCTGCGTTTAAAAGGAAAATAAAAACCATGTAATGTAATAATTCTTCTCTTTTAAATATAAACAAAGTTTAAAACGATAACGAAATTAATACACAAAATATGCTTAAGCTATGTTATCAGGGTGCAAACTATTTCAATTGCCCTTCCCAGGTGGCCCTGGTTTCCACATCTGGATTTTTTTTACTAGATCTAGTTTTTTTTATTGCTGTTTAGGTTTCTGTCAGTACCGCCGCTAGAATTTAATTCAGGGGGTGCATGAAGAGACTTTTTTCTTTCTACGCCCCCCCCCTCCTACGCAACAAAAACTTTTTTTGTATATGTATTTACCTACTAAATACCTGAGCCCAATCTACGATTATTATTTATGAATCAGTCAGTTAAATTTTCTGTCAGTAATTACTGAATAATGACTCAGTCATTTATACTGATTCATATATTTTACGCTGCAACATATTTTTCTTGTTAAAACTATGAAATACTAGCAGTAAGCAACCTGTAATAGGGATTGCTAGTAAATAAAATTAAAAACAAAAACCGCGTATAGAAAAGCCTAGAAACTACTTTAAAATAGAAAAGCCTAGAAAATGACGTAAGTCGACTATTAACTACTATTAAATTAGCGTATTAATATTATCAGATTGTTTTTGGCGGCCAGGGTATATATCAGCATATATGCAAATAATTAGACTGAGTGGATTGTGTATGCTTAGTGTACACAAAAAAAGAATAATTGTCCAAATTTTACCAACAAAGTTGTCGACAAGTTTGGGCAAAAAAGAGAAAGATCGAGTTGCTCTTTTAGAAACAAAGTGAATGACGGTTGTAAGTTGTAAAATGTAAATGTCTAATTGTAATTTAAAAATTTAAAATAAAAACTACTTTTAACGCGTTTTTTCTTGATATTGAAAGATTTTTACCTATTTATTTTTCTCCATTTTCTTTTTTTTTTTCAAAAGCTAGGGTGCACCCCCTGTCGGTGCCCATGGTTTCTGTGTTTTGTTTTTCGAAAAATATTACCAAATCTAGTTATATTTCGTTTTTGGAGTTTTTTGTTGATAAAATTAAGATTTGTATTTGATTGTCGGTTTGCGTAACCAACTTATCAGTTAAAGAATATTTGAGTTTGCTATTCGAATTTTAATTCCAAATATCAAATTCAAAACTTTACTTTTAAAATTTAAGTTGTTGAGCAACTTGTTGAACTTTGGTTTTAATTTGATTTGTTTTTTTTTTTTTGATTTTATTTGTTGTTTGATTTTTATTTGATTTGTTAATCTTTGGTTAAAGTTTAAAATTATGTATATATATTATAAAATAAATTTTTGTTTTTGATTTTTTTTTCATACTAAATGTGACAATTCATGATTAAGCTTTGCATCCAAATAAAACGCAGGTTTCCATTCGAGCAAAACAGTATTCTGGCAGAGATGCCCTTGATGGACCCAAAGCAGGCTCTTTTGAGCAATAAATCTTCTATCATCACATTAGCAGTAAATTTCCCAAATATTGTTTGCAAAACAGGGCCGACGACACGAGTTTCAAAGTGGAGTAGCAAAGTCGTAAATTTTAAAAAAAAGTCATCTATATCTAGAATTTTCTAAAAAAAAAAAGTCCTTTAGAAAGAAAAAAAAAAAAGGGGGAGGGAGGAGGATCTGTCCCCGGTATCGTTGGCTCTGCAAAAAGGGCTGTCCATTGATTACGTCAACAATTTTTTTGAAATTTTTACCTCCTCCCTCCATCTTGTCAACAATTTGTCAAATTTCCAGAGACCCCTATCCTAAAAAATTACGTCAATTTTTGATTACCCCCTATGCAAAGAAGCTACGCTACAAAATCAGCCTAATTTTCCATTATTTAAGCAACGAAACTCAAAAAAAAAAAAAAAATGTTGATATCAACTTTAATTGACCTCCCCTCTCCCCCTTGTCAACAATTGTCAAAAAAGTTCAGACCCCCTCCCCACTATTTTGTTGACGTAATTAATGGACAACCGCAAAGATTACAAAAACGATCGTGGTTATTTAGTCTTCGTCTACGAAAAAACTTCGAAAAAAATTTTGCAACGTCATCCCAGAGTGCGGTTGTGTTTTTTTCTAACCGTCGAAAAGAAAGAAAAAAGAAAATAAAGAAAGCAATTAAAAAGAGTTAATTATCAATTGTTTCAAAAAAAGAGTTCAAAAGAAAAGAAGAGTAAAAAAAAAAAGAACAACATATTATTAAAAAAGAAACTTTTAACAAATAAACACTCAAAAATAATATTTAAAAAAACAAAAAAAAGAAAATTCGGACATCGATTTTTACTTAACAAAAAAAGAAAAAGAAAAGAAAAAAAAAAAAAAAATAGTTAAAAAAAAAAGATAAGTTGATAAGTTAACAAGAAGATAAGAAGAAAAGATCAGTTTATTAAGAGTAGATAATTTTTATTGTTTTTATTTGTATTTATTATTTGTTATCTTCTTTTAAATATTTCACTTTTTTTTTAATTTATATTACTACAATTTATTATTAGATTACTTATTTTGATATATTATATTAAATACTAATTTTTATTATTGTTATTACATTTTTTAATTTATATTAACTTTGATTAGTTTTTTGTGCTCTTTTAGTTTGATTTTATAACTTTCTTCAATATTTTTGTTTATGTTATAATTTACTGTTTGTTTGACTGTTGCGTTATTGTTCGATTACCATTATTATTATTATTATTTATAATAATTGTTAGTTTTTCTGATGCTTTAATTGGTTGTTGTATCTTTGTTTAGTATTTTATGTTTATTATTGTTGTATCTTGTGATGCTTTTTTTAATATTGTCATGCATTTTTTTGCATTGATTATATTGTCTTGTGCGATGTTTATATTCTCATTTATTTTTATTATACTCTTATATATGTCATTATAATGTCATATTCATTATATTGGAGGAACAATAATTGTAGAAATGACGGATAAACAACCAACGCACGAAGTAATCGCGGAAGCCAGGAAATTAAGTAAAATAAACGAATACAAAAGCAAAGTTTATATTAATCCAGACCTTACGTTAGCTCAACGAGAGAGTAAGAAAATATTAATCGCAGAAAGAAACAGATTAAATAATCTAGCTGAGAACCAGTCCTTTCGGTTTATTATCAAAAATGAGCGAGTTGTCAAGTTTAAAACTAACCAAAAAGATCAAATCTAATAATTTCTTACAAAAAAAAAAAAACATCTCTTTAAAACAAAAAAATTTAAACATTAATAATAATTTTAAAATAAGCCCGACAAATAATTCAAATAAAGAAATATCTGTTTATCTTTTTAATGCCAGAAGCCTTGCTAATAAACTTCATGAATTTAATTTATATACAGAGGTAGTCAACCCAGCTTTAATATGCGTGTGCGAAACCTTTTTTAACAATAAACTAACCAATGGCATTGTTTGTCCTAATGGCTATTCAATTTATCGTAAAGACCGTGTGAAAATTGGAGGAGGAGTCGCTATTTATTGTCGACATGATATTAAGTCCAAACAAGTTGCGATTACTCAAAACAATAATGATGTTGATATTATCTGCGTTGACATCCTCAAACTTCGTTTAATTACATGCTACCGTCCACCTTCTTATTCCAAAATAGATTTTGACTATCTCGTCTCTATGATGTCAATTATAAATGATTTGTGCGACTCAGTTTCTCAATTTATTATTGTGGGTGATTTTAACTTACCAAAAATTGACTGGCTAAACTACATCTCACCGAACGAAAAATGTCATAGCTTATTTTTAACTCTTGTCAATAGTCTTGGTATGCATCAATTTGTTCACGAACCAACACGCGAATCCAATATTTTAGACCTTGTTTTTTCTAATAACAATGGTCTTTTAAGTAAAATTTCTGTTAAGTGCCCTTTTAGTACCAGCGACCATAACTCAGTCCATTTTTCTTTAAACATTAATGATAAATATCAGTACGAAAAGAAATCGAAATATTTTTATGATTTCATCAATGCTGATATAGATAACTTTCTAATTTACCTTTCGAATATTAATTGGGACTACGAGTTTTCTTATGTATTCAATATTGATGAATATTGGAACATTTTCTATAATCATATGAGAATTGGGATAGACCGTTTTGTTCCGGTAAGAAAAATACATCATAATAAAAAGAGTCATCATTACCCTAAATATATCAAGAAAATGTTAAGTCGAAAATTATTTTTATGGAAAAGAAATTCCGTTAATAAAACCATTCTACATAAACAAACTTACAAAACATACGCCATCAAATGTGTACAAACCTTGTTTGTTTATCCCAAAAGAATCGAACTCAAATTAGTTGATGACCATAAACACAGTAAGTTCTTTAACTATGTTAATAATAAACTAAATAATCATAAAGGGAACTACCCTATAAAGAACAACGACAATAATTTCAAGTTAAATTCTTGCAACAAAGAAACTGCTGAAGTTTTTAATAAACACTTTGGAAGTGTATTTACGGACGGTAACAACTATTCACCAAATATTACTAGTTTTGTTAACGACTCGATAAACATTGAAGACATTAATTTTTCTGTTCAGACGGTTTATTCAATTTTAATCAATCTCAAACCGAGTACATCTTATGGTCCTGACGGAATACCGAACATTCTTCTGAAAAAGCTAGCTCTTGTTTTATGTATCCCACTTTCGTTTATATTTGATGCCAGCTTTAAGTCTACCACAACAGTGGCTTTAAGCTTTAAGTCTACCACAGCTTTAAGTCTACCACAACAGTGGCTTCAAGCTTTTGTTTCTCTAATTTTTAAAAAAGGAGCAACATCAGACCCTAATAATTATAGACCAATTTCACTCACATGCACCTGTTGTCGTGCAATCGAAAGAATTATTAACTCGGATATTATTAAACACTTAACTCTCCATAACTTAATAGCCAATAATCAACATGGTTTCCTCAAGAAACGCTCTACATGCACTAATCTTTTAGAATCTGTTAATGATTGGAGTACTGCACTAGACAATAATCTAACAACAGATGTTGTATATATCGCCTTTCAAAAGGTATTCGATTCTGTATCACACCCTAAATTGTTAGCCAAACTAGCTTTATTTAACATAAGAGGTAATTTAAAAAATTGGATTGCTGCATTTTTTAACAATAGGAGTCAACAACTTAAGGTTGGAACTTCATTATCAAACCCAACTTGCATCGTTAGTTCCTCAGGGCAGCGTGTTAGGCCCAACATTATTTTTACTATATATCAATGATATAACCGCTATAGTCAACTATCTTGATTGCTCTTTAGAACTTTATGCCGATGACATTAAGTTATACAGTTCATTTTGCAATACGGACCATAGCCATTATTTAGCTATTGCTCTTAATAATGTAGTACTTTGGTCAGAAACATGGCCACTACCTATTTCTACCAGTAAGTGTTTTGTTCATAAGATTGCACCTGCTTCATCGAGAAAACTTGTTAACTTTAACTATAAGTTAGGAGATCATATTTTAGCTTGGTCTTCTATTCCGAAAGATCTCGGTGTAACTCTGGACTCTCAACTAAACTATAAAAAGCATATCTCAAACATTGTACATGCAGCTAATACTAGAGCATTTCTTATTTTAAAACGCTTCAAGTCTCGCGATTCTATAATCTTAGTAAAAGCCTTCAATACATATATTAGGCCTATATTAGAATATTGCTCCCCAGTTTGGTCACCATATCATGTTGAACTAATAAAGGTTGTTGAGAACGTGCAAAAACGTTTCACAAAAAAAATCCTGCACTTAGGCAATTTAACCTACGATAACCGAATTCAGTTGCTTGATTTGGAGTCGCTTGAGTTAAGGTGAGTAAAGCATGATTTATCGTTTTGCTACAAAATTCTGCATAACTTGGTCTTAATTGATATATATATGTTCTTTCTTCTTGACAACAAAAACAACATTCGGGGACATAAGTATAAATTGCACAAACAACATTGTCGACTAGATATTTGCAAATTTAGTTTCTCTTACCGAGTTGTCAACATTTGGAATCAGTTGCCTCTCGATGTTGTTAATGCCGATAATATCAATATCTTAAAGAGGAAAATTAACTCAATCAATTTTGAAAAGTTTTGTCGGCGTTGATAAATTATTTATTCAATGTTGTACGCTGTTACATAACTTATATATTTATTTGGGTGGGCACGCTGTTAGTGTCCATCAATATTGGACCTGCGTGTTCTTTAGAACATGTATATTATCTGTTCTAATAAATAAAATACAAATACAAATACAAATTATGCGGCCGTGGCGCAGTGGTTACAGCGCTTGCTTTATAAGCAGGAGATCCAGGTTCGAAACGAGCTCTGAACATAATTTCGCTTCACGTTAAGGAAGGAGGCGTGAACTTCCTGGTTAAATGCACATCCGTGGTGAACTGTGACAAGACCGTTAGGTCTTCTTGGGACACCTATATATATATATATATATATATATATAATATATATATATATATATATATATATATATATATATATATATATATATATATATATATATATATATATATATATATATATATATATATATATATATATATATATATATAAACCTATATTTTGTTATATATACCTATATATATATAACAAAACAAAAAAAAAAAACAAAAAAAAAAAAGTATTCTTGTTTGTAAAAGTTTAGTTTCTTTTAATATTATAAGTTATTTTTTTACATAAAATGTTTGTATCTTGTGGTAGGCTGTTACATTTTGTCAGTATATACTGTTTTTGACTTCGTAATATTATATAATATTCGTAATATTTAATAATATACATTAGGTGTTTTCATCCACCTTTCGAGAGCATTCGATACTGTCGATCATGAAATTTTACTACAAAAGCTAAAATATTATAGAATATATTGCAAAGTTATAAAATGGTTCAAAAGTTATCTATCCAACCGTAAACAATTTGTTTTCAGCCATAATGATCATCCAAATAGATTTCTAAATATTTCATGTGGCGTTCCACAAAGTTCTATTTTGGGACCACTTTTGTTCTTGATTTATATAAATGATCTAAATAAAGCCTCAAATTTAATGAGTATCATGTTTGCTGATGATACTAACTTATTCTTTTCCAATAATGACATTTGCAAACTCTTTTATACTATGAATAATGAACTTAAAAGAATATCCAAATGGTTTAAATGCAACAAACTAACTCTTAATATTAAAAAAACAAATTGGGTTCTTTTTTACCCAGTCTCTAAAAAAGCTTATTTACCCCAAAGTTTGCCTAAAATTTTTATTGATAATGTTGAAATAAAAAGACATAATGTAACAAAATTTCTAGGTGTTTTTCTTGATGAAAGCATAACATGAAAGCATATAGACTATATTGGTACAAAAATTTCTAAAAATATTGGAATTCTATATAAAACCAGAACATATTTATGTAAAAAAAGTCTAACTCAACTTTACTACTCATTAACTCATAGTTATTTAAATTATGCTAATGTTGCATGAGGAAGCACTGAAAAAAGTTAAAATACCTTTATCGCCGTCAGAAACATGCAATCCGTTTAATAAATTTTGCGGATCGATACACTCATTCCGAACCACTTTTTATTGAAATGAAAGTTCTCAATATTTATGAGCCTAATGTTTTTAATGCTTTGTGCTTTATGTATATGTGGAAAAATGACATATCTTTACCCGTTTTCAAAGATCACTTTTGTTTAAAGCCAATAAATAAATATACACTTAGAAACAATAATTTTATATATGAGCCCTTTTGTCGAACCAATTTTAATCAGTTTTGTATTGCATATCGTGCACCTTATCTTTGGAATAAAATTGTTTTGTCCAATTTTAACATGCATTTTACTTTTTCCGTTTTCAAATATAAACTGAAAAATTTAATTATCTTAATGGATGATGTAGTCAGATTTTTTTAACTTTATATTTTCGTTAGAACTTTTATTGTTTATTACGTTTTATTTTGTAGATTATGTTTTGATGGAGTTTATATACACACGTTTGTAAAAGGTTCTGATGATAAGATCAGTACGATCTTCTTTCAGAAACCTTGTTTGTGTTTGTGAAAGTAATTTATTTACCACGACAACAAATGTAAATTAAAAAAAAAAAAAAAAAAAATTAAGGTTGTTATATTCGTTAAATCATTTTTTTTATATGAGTGTGTTTACGTCACTGCTGGGCTGGTTTATATTCAGTTTTTGTTTTAGAGATAGGGTTTTACGTTATTATTTTAATAAAATTACGGCTGATTACATTATTACGTTTTGTATCAAAAGTACAAAACGTAATAGTTTAATCAACCAAAATGTTTTGTTTGTAATCTTTGTTGTGAAATTTTTTGTTTTTTGTTTTTCTTGGCGATTTAAATTTTTTGTTTTTTGTTTTTCTTAATTGCTGTCACTCATTTTGATCATGAGTGACACTCATGTCATCATATTATTTATATTATTATAGATAATATTATTATTTTTTAATTATTATTGTTATAATTATATGGTGTCACTCCTTTGATCAGGCTTCTGTTTGAGTGATACCTTTCTTTTCAAATAATTATTTATATTTATTCTTATTAAATATATTTTATTATAGTTATATTGTTTGCATTATTGTTATTATTATTGTTATTATTATTGTTATTGTTATTATTATTATTATTATTATTATTATTGAATAAATGTTTTTTTAAAAGGGTTTTATATAAGGAGCTCTTATACCAAAAAAAAAAAAAAAAAAAAAAAAAAAAAATTTAAGAAACCGACATATTTTTATGTTTAAGTTTGCACGTTTTTATGTATCTAACCTAAAAAAAACATAGTTTCAAAAGTATTTCCAGATATATTTTGAACTGATAACACGGTATTAACAAAATAATATAAAAAATCAGCTCAAATAACAAATCCATTGACTTGCGGCGAATCCACTTATTATTACGATAAATGTCCTAACAATAATAATAATAATAATAACAGATTGCTGTTTGCAGTAAATAACTAAGTTTCATTTGAGTTGAAATTCGCAATTAACTTCAAGCACCAAGCTGTTACAGAAAAGAGATCAAATTTAAGATTGGCTGCTTGTTTTTTTTTGCGTGAATAGCAAACAAACTTACAAGCTATGGATTCAATGATAGAAAGATTATTTTTCTTTTCACAGAAATTATCTTTATCTCTTCACACAAAATGAATTTTGACATATATTCAGAGAAAACAACTTTAATTCCAGACGGAGCAAAATTACTGAAAAGCAGTGTTGAAACGAGCAGCCTTGGCGCAGTGGTTAGAGTTCTGGCTCAGAACCCAAAGGTCCGAGGTTCGATGTCAGCTCCAGCCTAACAAGCGACATTGGTACGGAAGGAGGCGTGAACTTCCTGTTAAATGCTCTCCCGCGGTGTTCTGTGATAAGTCCATCAGGACTTCTTGGAGCACCTAAATAACTACAAAAACAATAACTAAAAAAACAGTGTTGAAACGTCTTATACCAGCCATTATTGCGTAATCGGAGCTAGGCTTACCTTGTCGCGGAACAAAAAAACATTTTGGTGTTCCAGATAGTGGAAATTAATTGGGTTTGTCAGAACTTGTGACTCAGTTTGACCCAATTTTGAAAAATCATGTAGCAAAACATGCGGGTAAAGGTAAAGGAAATCCATTTTTTCAAAAACAATATGCAAGGAATTAATTAGAATTAAGAGAGAAAGTTTCTCTCATCTCTCATTATAAAAGAAATTTTACTCGCTCGCTATTTTAGTGCTTCAGTTGATTCAATTCTAAAAAATTCTAGCTAATTGATACACTTCACCTAAGGAGGGAAAGCCAATCGAATAATATTTAACATTTTTTAATTATGAAAGTTCATGTCGGTGCAGCCATTGCAGAAAAAGTTAAAAATGTTTAGGAGAGACTTACAATTAAGATTTTAAAAATTGCGGAGGTTAGTCTTACAACAATATTGCTAATATATTTAGAGTAAACTGTGGAATGCAAGAGATGTTGAACCTCAATGAGAATCCGTCATATTTATCGGATGCAATACATTCGTTAAACCTAGTTGGATAAACTGCTGTATAATTCTGCTTATTTTCTGGTAATTTTTTTTCTATCACGTTTCTATTGTTTGCGTTTTTTTTTCAAAATTAATGCATTGCTGAGTTGTCTTCAAATAACTCATAAGAAAAGTACTCCGATTTTCATCACAAATGTCTGTGGGGCGCACGCCAATATCTCTAAAAAAATTCTTCATTTTTTTAATGCAAATATGAGATCATTGAGTTAAAGTGCTAAAGATTCAAAAAAGTGAAACCACGAAGCTGTATTTATTGCAAATAAGATTGGAACTTTAAATTTTAAAGTATCAAATAACAATGTTGATTTTTTAACTTGTGATATCTTTTATTACTTGTTTTTGTAACTATAAAAGTATAGAAAATTATGTAAAGTATAAGGAAAAAAAAATAAAATACGCAATATACTTTAAAAAATAAACAATAAATTTTTCTCATAGGTTTTTACATTTATGAAGAAAAGACTTATGCTCATTGGTAAAAATTTACATTTATTTAATGTACGTACTTTACTACTGATAATAATTTTAAAAGTAAACTTATTATTGTAAAAATGGGGCTCCAATGGTTTTAGTACCTTGTGCCCCAGTTTTCTTTAATCTGGCACTGTAAAAAAGTACATGATGATACAAACTTGCAAAGTTTTTGCCCACTGTAAATGTTTATTGGTTATTAATCAATTTTCTCTGCTAATTCAAAAATGTAAAATGTTTATATTATTGACCGTTTTAAATTAAAGCGTGTTTAGCGCCAACCGGCAAATGAGCGCCCATACATCAACAATGCCTCACAAAACGTTTCACGGAAGGTTGTTAGTGTGTTTCTCTCGCAACCTAGGATGGGATGAGGAAATAAAAATAGTGGGTTACATGAAAGATAATACATATAATACATGAAAGATAATACAAGATAATACATGTATTACTGACTGTAACATATGTATTATTATCTGTATTATTAATTGGTACTTTAAATCCGAGGTTTTTCGTTTCTGCGTCCTAAAATCTTTCATAAAATGCATAAGAAACATTTTATACTTTTTATGCAAGATACTATGCGAATTAGTTTGTATTATTGATTTTAAAATTTACATAAAAGCTAAAGGGAAATAAGCTCTTCAATATGTAGACAACCATGTCTTCATATTGTATATATCATGCTTTACATGATGATAGCCTACCAGTACCACAACTACCGCAAAATGTAAGTATCCTTCTCATCATACTCTCGAAATATTTTACATTTACTTTAATTAAACAAAGTATTATTTACAATGAATTTATTTTTTAATGAAGTTTTAAACGCTACTGTTACTTAAGCTGATGTTTAACAGTAGCAATAACATTGAGGAAGCTTTTCCACCAATAAAGACTTTTCACCCTCATTTTCCAAATCAGAATAAGTTAGATAATTTTCTTAGAAATTTAGGTCTTACTAGGTCACAAGCTGAACTTCTTTTTTTAAGGCTGGAATAGAATCTACTAAACGAAGACTGCAGGACATGTGTGTACCCGAAATGGCATAAGGCATTTAAATTTAATATGGCTTGTATAATAACTTATATTATGGTAAATATGTGACTGGTTTGTTCACTCCTCTTAGACTTGAGTATGATTTTACACAATGGCGACTGCTCATAGATAGCTCAAAACGTTGTCTCAATGCAGTATTGCTGAACAATATACATTTTTGTCTCTTGCATATTTGGGTCAGAAAAAAGAAGACTGCTATAATTTCAAAGAAATTTTTAAAAAAACTAATTATTCTGAATTCAAGTAGGATGTTTGTAGTGATTTAAAAAAAACTAATTATTCTGAATTCAAGTAGGATGTTTGTAGTGATTTAAAAAAAACTAATTATTCTGAATTTAAGTAGGATGTTTTTAGTGATTTTAAAAAAACGAATTATTCTGAATTCAAGTAGGATGTTTGTAGTGATTTTAAAAAAACTAATTATTTTGAATTCAAGTAGGATGTTTGTAGTGATTTTAAAAAAACTAATTATTCTGAATTCAAGTAGGGTGTTTGTAGTGATTTCAAGGTGCTTGCGTTCTTACTTGCATGATACACAAAGTATTCATGTTTTTTTTCACAGTACAAGTGAACAACCACAGTGTTGTCAAATGGATTTTTCAAGGTTGCACACAATGAAATAACTCGTTGTGGATTTAAATGCACTGGCATTATTTTTATGGGTCGAAATATTCTTTTTTACCTAGATTATCTACCATCTATGATAAAAGATATTCCCATGGAATTTTTGTTATCAACAATAAAGCAAATAAATGAAGCATTAGTTATAGATAAGCGAGTAGCAATCAATGAGCTATCATCAAATAACAACATTCTCACTATCATCACTCAACATTATATTTTCTCTCAACATAATCTTCTTCATTATTATTGCCTCTACAAAACTTTAAAAATATAATGCAACGTCACATTTTTTTGTAAACAACATATGCGCCCATACTTGTAGGCAGAAAATTATAAAAACACAATTAACTTTTTGGAGCGTTTTTTGGTTTTCATTAGTAACCTTTAATAAAATTTTCTTCTTGTTAAAAAATTATTAGTTGAAAATTAATTTTAATGAATTTTAATAATAATTGTTTTTATTCTTTTGAAGAACTTTTATTTGTAAAAACTTTATATCGAAACTTTCAAAAAAAGGATCTTCTACGACTTTTAAAATCAGACTCTTTTGGAATAGAATGACAAAAAACTATTCTATGCATTTTAAACTCATATTGCTTTTGAAAGTCAACATAAACTCAAAATTTTTGTGAAAATAGTTAACAATACCATAAGCAAGTATTTAAGGAGTCTAAAATTATCAGAAGCAATAAACTACACAAAAAAGCTAACTTTTAAAAATGAGGAGGTTTTACCGGACCCGTTTACAATCGAACAAAATGATTTGTGCAACAATGCAAAATGTTTACTTTGATAAGTAAGGTTGTTATGTAAGGTTTGGCAAATGTCAAACATTCGCCAAACCTTACATAGCAAGATTTCACTTAATATTTAATTGATACACGTAGCATTTACACGAAAAAATCAATCAAAGCTTTTAAATACTTGGAAAAATATAATTGTTTTACTAGTGACCGTTTTAATTTGTCCGAGTTCAGTTTTTTTTTTTAGTTCAAAAGTTTCATTTGATATCTGAATCAACTCACTTTTATACTGCATTAATTAAAAGTTAAGATTTTTCGATTCTGCTTTGTAAGTAATTTGTAAACAATGTTGAGAAATAGTAGTCTTATCTTTAGGTCAATTTGTGTTATTATTTATTTTTTTAGTACGATTTTCCAGCTCTTTGTTACTGGGTTAGCTAGATCGTAGTATTGATAAGGAGCATAGTTTTCTGAATAAAGCTTCAGAATAAACTTTTTTTTTCCTTTTTATAGATCAAAATAGAAGTTGGAGAAGCTTCTAGGTGATGAAATAAAGATTGACTGCGGTCATTTTCAGATTGATCATCAGAATATTTTCCTAAAAAAAATTAATTTTAATTTTAAATTTATATAATTAATTTGATAAGGTTCAGTTAAATTACATTTATTATAAACTATAAATTACTATGTAAAAACTATGTATTTTTAAACCTCCATTCATTTATTTTTAAACTACATTCTTGGTACAAAATGTGGACTAAAACCTCGTTTTTTACTAATTTATTTACTATCCAACTGTCCCAATATTTTTTGGTTCAGTATTTATGTCTTTATATTTCAAATGGTAGTTTCCCTGAAAGATTTTTATAGATTTTCAATACACAAGCGTTTTTACAACTGTACAACAAATAGTTGGCATAATTTGATTTAAATTAAAAAATTATCATCGCATAAATAAATAAAAAGAACACCGAAGAATTTTTAGACCATGTAATATAAGGTTTTTGTAAACCATTATTTATGTAGAAACCAAAAACAGGTGATAAATTCCCTTTTTTAGTAATTTTTTTGGGCTCTGAAAGAGCATAAAATCTAATATAAAATAAAGTTAACAATATCAAAATCAGTATATAACCTAATTTTACTTGAATATATCGTAGCCAAAGAATAATATCCTAGATTACTTAATGATTTGTCTTTGTATTATATCGTAGCCAATATTTAAATTTATGCTTAATCAAGGGTTAAAAGATATGCTTAAAATAATAATACATAGAAAATTGGCCTTATTGAAACGAAAATTGGTACGTAACCTGTCTGTATTGTGGGCAACTTGAATCCTTATATAGATTTAGTTTTAAAAAACTTAGTTTTAACCTGCTTTAAAAAAACTAAACACTTTTTGTATTTTATAATTGCACTTTTATATTTTTTAATCTAATGACATCTATGTTAAACTAATAATGTTTAATTAGCAAAGCAAAAAAAATGTTTGAGAGCATAAAAAGTAATATATACTTTTGTTACATTAAATATTAAACTTTGTATTCCACATTTTTTAGCATCTATATTGTTTAAAACAGAAGAGTTAGTGAGTATTTTAAATAAAAAAAAAAAACAGGAGCATATTTTTATTACTGCATAGAACAATTTATAAATACGACATTATAATTTATAAATACTACACAGACAATAACGTCTTTTACCCTTGTTTATCCTTCGGCACCCAAAATTTGGACGCTGTTATCAACCAACTCGATTTAAAGAAATAAAAAAAGAGACAATTATTTTTATGCATCCATTCATTTAAATAAATTAAATTTAATAACATGATATCATAAATCAGAAGCTATTTAGAAAAAGATATATTGAAGAAATATCCGAAGAATTTGTTTACGATAAAAGCAAAGTTGATGTTTTTGATATTTTCGAAAGCAAACCATCACGATGAAATATCAAAAACATCATTAGTACTCAAATTTGCTGTAGCTGATGTTGTTGTATCAGATAGTCAATTTTTTTCATACTTTCTATTTAAGTAAAAGCTAGCAGAAAAATAGAAATGAAAAACATCATTTTTGATTTTATTCATATCAATGAGGAATGGTTTTACAATACAAGTTAGTTAAATTTTTCTGTGGTTTTTCATGTTGATTTAACTGATATGCATAGCTTTTCAACTGCGATAAGTAAAACAAATATCTGAAATGTATAGCTTTTATTGAGGTAATATTGAAGCTTTCTTAAAAAAAAAAAAAAAAAAAAAAAAAATACTTTTTCATGCGGGAAGGAGAAAGATTTTGAAGAAGAAGACCAAAATGGTCGCTGTAATTATCTATGCCTGACAAAACGTCACGTCTTCTCCTGAGCGCCTAATATATACCGAGAAAATTTAATTCTAAACACTTGTTGTATACCAATTTAGTTGGTTAAACACATTCATAGCATTTTCTATTGCAGTTACTTTTATATTTAAAACATAAGATAAAAATGCGCTGCAACGATCAGCTAGCGCTAGGTTTGAATATAGAAAGCTCTTATGATGATGGATCAGTGTTATTCTTAAAAGTAATGATGTGTAAAATAAAATTTTGAGGCACATCAAAGCTAAAATATTGTTTGCAATTTTGTTCTTTTAATTTTATAATTTTGTAACTAAAAACTGAAAATTATTTTCTTTTTCTTCGCAAATCAAAAGGCTTTGATGATAAGAAGATATGAAAAAAAAAAGATTAAAAATAAAGAAAAACAAAGAATTGTCAAAAAATGACACAAATAAAACACAAGTCATTAAAAACTACTTCTAAAGAATTTAAACTTGAAGGACACCATTCATTATGAGAAACCGAAACTGAGGAATTCTTTTTTAAGCGCAAAAAGTAAACTTATACGTATAAAATTGCGTTAATAATATTTAAAAAAACCAATTGGTGTTTTAAAATACAAGTTGCAAATATAGTTTCGTTTTTACTCAACTTTAAGATTTTTTGTTGAATTGTTATATGAAAACTGATCTTGCCCCATTCGCCATGTTGCCTCGCTTTCACCTATATATATATATATATATATATATATATATATATATATATATATATATATATATATATATATATATATATATATATATATATATATATATATATATATATATATATATATATATATATATATATATATATATATATATATATATATATATATATATATATATATATATATATATATATATATATATATATATATATTATATATATAATATATAATAAATTAACAAATACCTTAATTAACAAATTTGACTTTTTTTATTTTATATATATATAAAATAGAAAAAGTCATGTATATTACATATAAATGTCTAGTATATTATATATATATATATATATATATATATATATATATATATATATATATATATATATATATATATATATATATATATATATATATATATATATATATATATATATATATATATATAAATTAAATGAACAAATACCTTAATTAACAAACTTGACTTTTTTTATTTTAAATTTAAATAATTTATTTATCGAAAACGTGCCGACAAAAGCAATCGTAAAATTCGCATACTTTCGTAACTTGATAAATAAATAATCTGGTTTCTTAGGAAAAGATATCCCTTTCTAAACGTATTGGTGCTTTAATCTCAAAGATATAAAATCATTTTATGATGTGCGTTCAAGTTAGTAAAAGAATTTGTTTTAATGTCTCAGGTTACACTTTTGTAACTTTTTTTGAAACACTAAATCGATTTCCAGATACACTTTTGGGAAACAAAAACCGTCGAGCTAAATATTTTCATTCAGTATCCAACACGTATTTTATTGACCGTTCAGCAATAGCGTTTGAAGCAGTTTTATTTTTTTACCAGTCAAACGGTCGTTTAATAAGACCCCCTGGCATGTCAATTGAAATTTTTGAAGAAGAATGTTTATTTTACGACTTAGGAAAGGTAGCAATCGAATCAATGAAAGCGCTTGATGGATTTGAAATTACACTAAAAGAAACTACCCCAATTCAAACTAACCGCACTCTCAATAAAATATGGTTTTTTATTGAGATGCCAGAGTCATCAACGCCTGCGCAAATTTATGCATGTATATCGATGATTCTCATTCTTTTTGTTGTCACGATAGACTGTGTTAGTACAGTAGATGCGTATAAAAACTCAATACTGCTTAAGTTATTGAACAAAGCAAATTTTTATTTGAACATATTTTTTGCAGCAGAATTTATTATAAGGTTATTATCATCCCCATCAAAATGGAAATTTATGACGTCAATAGGAAATGCGTTAGAAATTTTTTCAATATTTCCATCATTTTTGTTAACAATTGTCGAAGAAAAGCATACTGGCGGGATAATATTTGTACGAGTTCTAAGAACATTAAGAATACTGCGGCTGATGCGACTATCCAAAAATTTTCATTCACTTTCTGTTGTTTTAAGCATATTAGTAGATTGCTTTAAAGATATAATCATGTTGGTGTTTATTATGATTGTTTTATCTGTGTTTTTTGGTAGTATTGTTTACCACGCGGAGCTGGAGAGTAAAGATACTCCTATATCTAGTATACTAGAAGGAATGTGGTTTGCTTTACAAACGATAGTAACGCTGGGTTATGGTGATGTAGTTCCAGTTACTTTTTTTGGAAAGATTTCATCTGCTTTTACGGCAGTAATTGGGGCTTTATTGATGATTATACCACTGTTATACCTGGGCGGAAATTACTTTACAAAATACGCAAAAGCTTGTGGAAATTTTGCAAATGCTTAAACTCGTGTAATTTTATTAGATACTCTGTTTAAAAAATGGTTCAAATAAATAATCTCCCTAATTTCTATTCGCATTTATTGTTTGAATGATTAATATTTTGTCATTTTTATAATTGGTTTTTAGAATCATTTAAGTTATGACCGGAGTATGTAGAAGACAAAATTATTATCATTTACCCAGTTGATGCCATTTACGCATCTTAAAAACCAATAAAGTAACAATGTAATAAAAGTAATAAATGTAAATAAAAGTAACAATGTAATAAAATTAATAAATGTAATAATCAATAACTTAATTATAACACTTTTTTTTAAGTTTTATGTTTTCAATCATTTTTTAACTATATTTATTCACACACACATTGTTTAATTAATATGTTTTTAGACAGTGTATTTTTAAGAGATATTTAAACTAAACCGAATGTGTTTGCTTTTTGATTTGTATAAATTCTGAGCTTAACTGTTTTTTAAGAGCGTAATTTTAAAAATAGCTTCATAAAATTTATAAATAATTTTTATAAAATTTATAAATAATTTTTATAAAATTTATAAATAATTTTTATAAAATTTATAAATAATTTTTATAAAATTTATAAATAATTTTTATAAAATTTATAAATAATTTTTATAAAATTTATAAATAATTTTTATAAAATTTATAAATAATTTTTATAAAATTTATAAATAATTTTTATAAAATTTATAAATAATTTTTATAAAATTTATAAATAATTTTTATAAAATTTATAAATAATTTTTATAAAATTTATAAATAATTTTTATAAAATTTATAAATAATTTTTATAAAATTTATAAATAATTTTTATAAAATTTATAAATAATTTTTATAAAATTTATAAATAATTTTTATAAAATTTATAAATAATTTTTATAAAATTTATAAATAATTTTTATAAAATTTATAAATAATTTTTATAAAATTTATAAATAATTTTTATAAAATTTATAAATAATTTTTATAAAATTTATAAATAATTTTTATAAAATTTATAAATAATTTTTATAAATACTTGATATCAAAAGAACTTTCGATATCAAGATAGATGGAGGGGGACACTTGATTAACTGCCAATAAACTGTTTATTGGGAAACCAAAACCACCAACTAATGTATATACACTTCATTTTGTCTCTGATTTTATCAGTCAATGTATGTACGAATTTCAGTTGCATAAATTTATTATTAAAATACCAAGACCGATAATAGTATATGCGTGTATTATTTATAATACCAAGACAGCAATTATAACTTATGCATGTTTTTAGTCGCTGAAAATACAATGAATTGAAGTACTCAAATATTGATATTTTATTCCATAAAAATATAAAAAAACGGTTTCTAAATTGAGGTTGTTATATCGAGACAAACTGCGTCTAATTGTTGGCTCAATCTCTTTCTTAGAATTTCAGAGGTCATTGTAATGATTCCCAATAATGAGCAAAATATATGTTTATATTTTTTTTGAAAGAGAGTTATAAGATATTTTCGACACGTGTTGAAATATAAAAACGGTTTAGAACAATAATATAAAATTAAGGAAATCAATAGTTTTCAATTAATATAAAAAAATATGGTCTATTATGTATATTGTAATCATATATTTTGCAGAATTAATTTTTTTTTGTTATTATTATGCAGAGTAAGCATATAATAATTTTCTTTGAACTTTCAATTGAGAAAATTTGCTGTATTGCTCAAACTTTTTGCTCGGGTTAATAGCCCATATTTAATTATTTGAAAATAAATTTAGAAGTGTTATATCATTCAAATATGAACCTTTGACTCGTGTATTTAAATTTCTCACCTAAAATTAACAAGATATATTTATTTTTAGATTTCTCTATTTTATAGATTTAATTCTGTAAATTTAAAAATAACAAAAATTTATCAAAACAATTATATCAGCCAAAATAAAAACAACTATGACTCAGAAACCGCTCGAATTTTAGACTTAGCGATTTATCATCAGTTATATATTACTAACTATATTTAAATATAAAAAAATTTGATTGTCTTAACATAGAAATACTCATTTATGAATAGGATATATTTCCAACTAATAGGATATAAATGTTTATTATGAGTACTTAATTTTGAAAAATGGTTAGTTCTTATAACTTTTACCTCAGCGCTATTCTCAATTTTGAATGTTACTTGTCCACATTTTACTAATAATTTAGTATTTTTTACTTATATTATTTTATAATACTAATATTTTTAAATATATTTTTCTTGGTCCGTTTAGCTAAGAATCAACTTTATGTAATTTAGCGCAATCTGCTCCTACGGTTTTTTAAAACAAAGCGTCTAAATGTTGCTTCATGCCTAAATATTTTTACATTTTTCTCTTATATCCGGAATATTCAATGTTGTTTTTACTCAAAATAAAATATTGGAAAAGTGATTTATAATACCATACTCTTTCCCCGAATAATAAGATGAATATTAACCCTTATAGGATGCTTTTTTAAAATGGAATTTACTTATTGTATTCATAGTTTTTTCTTAACAAATTGCGAAAACAATTTAAAATCTTTTAAGCATCCACCATCTTGTAAACGTTCTCATTCATAATACCCTTGTCAAATACTTTCATTTTTTCTAATACATTAGATTAATCTATTTTCATTTTTGGTTAGGTTTAATGATTTAATAATTCGGATACCATATGAATTTACAGATTGTAAGCAGTATTAATAAAAAAAAACTCTATTAAAAAAATATTATATATATATATATATTTTTTTCCAAATTACAAGATATGTGTATAAAAACTAAAAATTGGGTATAAGACTCAAAAAGAATGTTTTTGCAGATTCACTAAACAATGTTGGCATCTTTGTCTATGTAGAAAGTTAATTTAAATAAATTCAGTAATAATTTTTTTGTAATTAGCTTAGTAATTAATATTTCTACAGTTTTTTTTTTTTTTTTTTTTTCTTTTTCTTATTAAAATGTCCTTTCTTTCTTTTTATTTATTGCTTTTACGAACCAGGAATATGCAATTTTGCTTAATCCTTAAACAATGATAATCCATTTAAATCTCACAATGTAACAAAAATATATTTTTTCTTTTTTTATCGAAATTTTTTGATGTTTCTTATTTAATTTGAGTATTCTGAGTCTGAATATGACATTTTATTGGATCAACCGTTTGATCATAAAACCAAAAATTTCAATGCAATATATAACTAATATTATTCATATAGCACGAGATATAACTTTAGTCAATATATAACATTTACTAGTTCAAAAATGTTGTGTTATGTTACAAAATGTCATGTTACATCACGTTACATACATATATTACATAATGTTACACTATGTTCTAATGTATAGTCTCTCAAAATCTCAAAAAACACTAGAAGTGAACAGTAGAACGTGGTTTTCTTTTATGAAGTTTGTCATCATCGCGTATAAACACCAGATGTAGTCACCTATCATAGCTGCATTCCATCTGCCCTGGTATCTTTTCTCCATTGCATGGATATCCTAATGAAAACGTTCTCCATGCTCTTCACTCACATTACCCAAATTTGGTCTAAAAAATTCCAAGTGTGAATGCAAGTAATGCAGATTTATTGACATTCTAAGTTTTCCACTAGCTCTTTCCAGTTATCACTCTTATCGTTGCCTAAAAAACTATGAACAACATGTCTAAACGCAATCCATGCTTTTTTTTTCAATAGCAGACATTTTGTCCTCCAGCTCCTTACATGCCAACATAACTTTATTCTGTTGAACAATACACCTGCTAAAGTTTTTGCATCTGAAACCTTTGGAAACATCTGCCAAATATGCTGGAACACTGCACTAGCTGGGTTGATTTTTTTGAAAAATTGTTTGACAAGATCTAGTTTAATGTGAAGGGGGTGGTAGTAAGATCTTCTCAACAAGTATCAGGGATTGATTACTAACTTTGTGCGAACCAGGGTGTAAATGTTCTCTCACTGACCACTCACATCTCCTGAAGTGCTGGTCCGCAAACCTGCTATCCCATAATCAAAGAAAACATGAGTACTTTGTGTATCCTTCTTGTAGACCGAGAAGAAACACTTGCAGCATCTTAAAGTCTCCTCATACATCCCACTTGTAACTGTCGTAGTTGATTTTCTCAAGAAATAACTTCACGTTCTTGTAGCCTTCCTTTAGATGAACGGAATGAGCTTCTGGAATCAAAGGAAATCAGTTTCTGTTATGGAGCAAAACTGCCTTTAGACTTCCTGTTAAATTGTCAATGAATAACGTCCACTCGTTAGGATTGTAAAAAATGCCAATGTCATTAAAAAGACCACGAACGTCATGACAGTAGCACAGTGATTCTGATACTGCATAAAAGCATGCAAATTTTTCATGTCTTTTTCGGTATTTTGAGGTACTGCAGCTTGGATCTAATAAATTTCATTCTTTCAAACATGATGTCAGAAGTTCTGCATTTGATTTAGTGAGACTTAAATCTCATTCTAAGTCATCAAGTTCTTATTGGTTCGGAAAATGAGGTGAACAATTCGGTTTCCTGAAATCACAAAGTGTACATAAAGTACTCATGTTTTCATCACGGATTTCTTCCGGTATGTCTACATCAGAATGATATGCAGCTGTTTGTTCGGATTGAGGTGGGTTAGGAACAGATAATTTAATACTGTGTGGAACTGGTCTAATAGAAGAGGGTATACTTGGAAAAACTAAAGTCAGCCTATCCTTCGGCTTTTTATACTTTAAAATATCAACCATGCAGAAATAACGGTCTTCATGATGGTTCGTCAGTTCTCTCCAAATTCTCGGAATTGCAAAGGGCATTGACTTTCGGATTCCACGCAGCCATCTTTTCAGAATTGATCTGCAGCTGCCACAACTGTAGCGTGGTGCCCACAACTTATCCTGATCTCCCATAGCCATGCCAAAATAAGTATGATATGCAGCAAAGAATTTTGTACCACTGACAATCTTATGTTTAGTTTGTGTTGGACTAATATATTAACCAAAAACATAACAGAATAAGTCAAGATAAAGCTTGCAGGATCTACTAGACATATTCACTACTTCATATAACAGTTGTATATAATTGTACACATACTTTTATCCGCTCTTATTTTAACCAACTTCTTTGAGTGTAAAATTCCTTTAATTTCACCATTTTAGCTTTACTCAGGTGTATTTTTCTTATGAAATGTTTTAATTTCAGCCTTTTTAAGTACTTTTTTGATATAAGAACGCAATGTCTTGAAT